ATGTGTAACTCCATCTATTTTTTAAAAATCCACATTATGAACCAGTACTCCTCGTATATGTTAGGGCCTTCTTTGAAAATATCTTTGCTTGAGTTCTTAATATAATAAAGATGTTTGTCTGCCATGAGGTGGTGCTGAATGAATAATTGGCAGAATAAAAGCTAATTGGTCTGTTGTATTTGCTGCAGTAATTTTTTACATGTTGGGGAGAATTCACGATGCCCCTCTGCTCCCACAAGGCTACCTGGAGCCTAATTCAACTTCACCCAACTGTCCCCTGTGCCATTTTCCCCGGGGTTAATTGATGAGGCTTTCTAACCATTCCAAGTATAAAGATCAAAACCAGTTGTCCTCAGGGAACCTTGGCTCTGCCTCTCCCTCCACCTCAGAGCAAGGCCCTGAGAAGCGTCAGTAGACAGGACTGTTCTAAAGGAGAAACAGCAAAGAGAAGGCAGCTGGCTGCTGGGTTCTACAGGTTGGGGAAAACACTAGGAAAGAAGCACTCAGCCCTCCAGAAAAGAAGATGCTGGAGAGGGAGGAGTGCCCACCAGGCTTGGACTCACAGCTAATGGATGCACTATCATTGGAAGCAGGTATTTTGGGGTGCCACACATGACGAGAGGTGAAAGGGCCAGACAGGTCTTTATAGCACAGGATCTTACTGCTTCCTCCCACCTCTCCCCCACCTCCCCTAGAGAACCAGTATGATTATAAATAGCTCTGTGTACACACACACACACACACACACACACACACACACACCAGAATATATACTCCAGAGGGCAGAGCATGTGTGTGCAAAGAACTGCCTCACCCATGTCCACCTCACCCTGCCTCCTCGATCTACTCAAAGGCCCAGGCGAAGCTCAGTGGAGAGTCTGCACCCTGAAGGCATGTCAGGGGTCAAGCCTCCCTCACTCTCTGGGTTGAGCAGCATCACTCACAGACCCATTGGCAGAAAGGCCCTCCAACCTCTTTTGTACCCATGGATCCAGAACTGCTCACACAAACAGGGGTGAACTCTGTTTGTAAAGACAATGGTTGTATTTTGCAAACCAAAGATAAGCATACATAGACTAAGGAATACAGTGGGAACAAAATATTGAAATGTCTGACCTCGTCTAGCCTGGGAAGCAGGAAAACTTTGGTCCTTATTTTTAAGACCAACTATCTTTCCCTATAAAAGCTCCATGCCCATGACTCCTGGTGCTGTTAGATCCCACTTAATAAGCATATTCTTTAAACAAACAAAAAAAAAACCTATTTTATATTTCACATGCTTTTCCAAAGCTTGGTAGATTAAAAAAAATCTTTAGAACAAAAATAATTTGGGGGAGGACAAGTTGCATTAAAAGCCTTAAAACAAGCATGATTCTAATTCTGAGACAATCCAATTTTAAAGGGCTACCCTAAAATTGAGCTCCAAGGTTGGGAGCCATCAGAGTTGAGACAAGCAACTCCGTCTTAAGGAAATAGAATTAAGTTCCTCCTAGCAGAAGTTATGCGGTGCCCTGAGGGTTTGGCCAGAAGATAAGATTAACCTGCGGCTTAGCATCTCTGCAACTTCCCCTTCCTGATCCTCCCCCATAGATAGCCCAGCCTTGGAATGTTACACACTGTCCCGGCAGTTAGCCAATCCTCTGTTGCCAGATACCTTACCACCTTGCCACTCGGTGCCTAAACCAATTGTACACTGCCAAAGACCCTCTGCATAGGCAACCCTGCCCCCCTTTGTTTCTGCTGTATATATACAGCCATTTCAAAGAATAAAGTCGAGGCTTGATCAGAGAACTTTGTCTTGCTCCCTCTTCGCGTTCCTTGTTTGTTCCATTCTCTTAGGTGGTTCCTGCGTACCCCCGTTGTTGCCCCCGCGGGCCGGGACACTCCAAGAATTTTTGTTACACAGCACTGCTTGCAAGGAAATATCCTTGAAAACAAATTCAAATGTCCAGCAGAGAGTAATTAAAGTAATTATGGAACATCTGTACAATGGAATATGCTGTATCTTAAATAACAATAATCAGCATTTATTGAACATTTATTTGGCTAGAGACCAAGTTACATGCTTCACATGCACCATCTCATTTAATCCTCCCAATGCTATAGGTACTATTATATCCTCATTTCACAGATGAGAAAATAAATACCCAAACGAGTGAAGTCATAAGCCAAGATCACATAGATAGTAGGTAGGATTCGCACTCAGGCAGTCTGACACCAGACAAAAGTTTTTAGCCATTATACTATATAACCTCAAATGCTTATCATTAAAAGAGACATTGTAACCCTAGCTGGTTTTGCTCAGTGGTTAGAGCATTCAACCTCCGGTCTGAAGGGTCCCAGGTTCAATTCTAGTCAAGGGCACAAGCCTGGTTTGCAGGCTTGATTCCCAGTAGGGGGACCGTAAGAGGCAGCCAATCAATGATTCCCTCTCATCATTGATATTTCTATCTCTCTCTCCCTCTCCCTTCCTTTCTGAAATCAATAAAAAATGTATTTTTTTTTTAAAAGAGAAATATTGTAGAAGTGAGATTAGTCATGTGGAACTATGCTGATGATACAGTGACAGGTAAAACAAGCAGATTATTAAACAGGACATCCATCTCATTTGTGTACAAGCATGCAAGCAAAGAGAGAAGGGTTTGAAAATATAACACTGTAGCATCTTGGCTGCTGAGTAGGTGTAAGTGGTGTGTGTGTGTGTGTGTGTGTGTGTGTGTGTGTGTGTTCTGATCACAAATGTGCTGATTTTGTGTTAAAAAGATAATTTTAAATTTCAGAAATTAACATAAATGGCCCTGCCACAGTTGGTTGGGTGTTGTCCCATGTACTGAAAGGTTGGTTGTTTGATTCCCAGTCAGGTTACATGATCAGGTTGCAGGCTCAATCCCTGGTAGGGGGCATGCAGGAAGTAGAAATTGATGTTTCTCTCTCACATCAATGTTTCTTTCTCGTGTGAGCATTCTCTATCTATCTATCTATCTATCTATCTCTATCTCTTCCTCTCTCTCTAAAATTCACTAAAAATATATTTTTCAAAATTAATATAAGTGCCAAAAATAAGTCCCTTGCATTATCCTCTATATAACCCAGTGTCTGGTTGTTGGCCTTGCTTTAAGTATAGGTACACAACTGCTTGCATAGGACTCAGGATATTGCTGAAGCCAGCTCACAGGCACTGCTGACTCTTTATGGCTCAGCTTCCCCACAAGGAAGCCAAAGCTCCCCAAAGAGAGACAACAGAGACTTCCCACTCTGCCCCTCATCAGCCTGTCTATCCCATTCCATCCCCCCAGCATCTCATCTGGGCACTTTGCCCCCAGGAAGCTGCTGGGCTAAGAGCACAGAGCTGTGTGAACTGGAAAAGTCTGGCAGCTTCTTCCCTGGCGCCAGCTTTTGCCTGAGGTGCAAGCCCAGGGACCCTCGAAGCTAAGAAGCTCCATCCTGTTGCTGGGTCTATCAAAGTATTTCACCAAATGCCTGAGGGAGGTGGGGTGGCCCAGGGACAAAACTCCAGTTCTGCAGCCACATACCAGTATACTAGGTCCCTCCTGGCCTCGCCACCTGCTTCCTGACTATGTGATCTTAAAAAGTTATTTCCTCTCTCTGAGCCTGTTTCCATGCCTGTCAAGTAATTACAATACCAACTTGAAAGGGGACTTGTAAGAAGCAAAATAAAATATATATCTATATAATAAATAATAATTAATAATAATAATAATATCAATGAATACCAACTACTGGCTGGGCATTCTGTTAAACACTTCATATGTCTGGTCTTAAGTAGCTCTCACAGCTGCCCTATGATAAGTACTGTGACTACTTGTACTTTCTAGAATGAAAGGAAGGCCAATATTAATGAACTCACTTGCACTGGTGACTAGTGCAACAGGAACTTCTGTCACTATCCCTGGTCCCCTACCAATGCACCACACAGCCTGGCACAATATCTGGAACATGGACTCCATCCAGATGATCATCACTGTCATATCTCCCTACTTGGCCTCTGCATGGCTTTGTAAGAATGGTGTTAACAGTGAGGAACTTCTGCCTGGTTCTCCCCAACCCAGACAGCTGGCACAGCCAGGGGCCACATGCCCACTTTAGGAAGCCTTCCTTTAAGAGCGATCAAACCTCCACCCCCCCCCCCCACACACACACACACACACACACTCTGAGCCAGCTCCAGGGACCGTAGGTGGTGGTTTTGCTGCTGTACAACCTGTGGCAACCTTCCTCCAACCAGGCCTTGTGCTCAGGCCACCAGGGCTGCTGGCCCAACAGGGACTGCTCACCCCCTAGGAGTCAGGCCCATTGGTACTCACACTTGGCACCTGCCCCCAAACCCTGTCAGTTCTCAGAATATCTGGGCCACAGCCTGGGTCTCCCATTTGCTCAAAAGAGCAGGTCAGTCTGTCCAGAGGGAGCTAAGCAAACCACAAAAGCAGTGCCCTTAAGCAGCCTCTCAACTGTCCAGTGGAGCCAGGCACTGGCTGCGTGTGCACGTGCTGCAGTTTGGGTGTGCAAGTGTGTGCAGGAGCGTGTGGGAGCGCGGGGAGCGGATTCACTGTGCGAGCGCGCTTGGGTTCCTGGCTGGGAGTTTGTGCCGCTGGATGAGGTTTGGGGTGGGCGGGCTAAGATGTCTCCTCCCCCCACCGTGTTAAGAAATCTCAGTGAGTCACCGAATGGTTCTGCATATTAATGAGCTCACTCTCCGCAAGGGCAAGAGCGGATTTAAAAGAGGCCTGGGCGGGAGGAGGGAGGCTGTGGAAGGAGCGGAGCGCAGTGAAAAAGGCACCCAGGAGCTCAGTGAAGGAGGCGCCCACCGACGGACGGGCGGGCGGGCGCAGCGGCCGCAGCGGAGCTAGAGGAGCCGGGAGTCGCTCTCCGGGCACAGAGAAGGGCGCAGCCGGCAGTGTCTCCGGGCCACTGCGCGGAAAGGCGGGCGCCCTCCCTTGTCCCTGCTCCCGCACCGCGAGCGCCCTGCCCCTCTGGCCAGCATGAGGCTCCTGACCGCTGCTCTGCTCCTGCTGCTTCTGGCTCTGTGCGCCGCGGGAGTGGACGGTGAGTGCCCAGAAGGTGCTTTGTCGCCGTCTGTCCCATTCTGGGGAACCCAAGCGCCAAATGCTATTTTTGATGAGATCCAGGGTTCTGAGTTGGGCACCGAGTGCGTGGAAGGGTGAGAGACCCTGCCCTCAACTGAGCGGCCTCTGGGCACTCTTTCGCAGGGTCCAAATGCAAGTGCTCCCGGAAGGGGCCCAAAATCCGCTACAGCGACGTGAAGAAGCTGGAGATGAAGCCAAAGTACCCACACTGCGAGGAGAAGATGGTTATGTGAGTTCCCGCTCCAAGCTTGTGTGCGCTGCTCTTAACCTGGGGCGGGGGCATAGCGTGGGGCTGGGTCAGGCTAACAAACACCTCTCCACCTTTGGCAGGGCCTTGGCAGAGCCTTTGTAATTGCCCAGGGAGTCAGTCCTTAGGAGCCCTGTGTTTGCACTGCCCAACTTTCTAGGGTGATGAAGGGTTAAATGGCTCCCGTGTGCCAACTTAGAACAACACCCAGCTTGAAAGCACCCAAAGTACACTCACAACTATTGAATGTGTACCCAGACTGTGAGGTGTGCTGCCTTCCTATTATTGGAGAGAGGATTAAAGTAAACATTGTTAAGTCCTCAGACCTCCTTTCAGAGCCTTTTTCCAATCGGGGGACCATCTATGGCCAGTTTTCAGCTTTTAGCAACTTCATTTTGAGAATGTTCCCTCACTCTTCCTTCTCCAGCTGGACTCCTGTAGGTCCCTGAGCCTGTGCGGAGGGCTCTGCTGGGGTTAATGTGCCACGTGGTTGGAGCTCTGCTTGGTGGGGATGTGGGAAATATCTTTGAAACTGGGGCAGAGAGAACACTGAGTCTCCTTGCTCCTCTGCCTTCCCAGTTAACCACTTGAGGCCAGCACCACTGTTTCCCCCTCAATATGCTCTTGGCCAGGAAGGGAGGCCTTGGCAAAGAGCTACCAAATAAATATCTGCCACGGATCACTGGCCCCTCTTCCCCGCCCCAGAAACAGGATACACACTATTCTCAGTCTGAGCAAGTACCTTCCACCACTGGCCCCGCTGGCCCAAAGGCCACAGTCTGCAAAAGTAGTCCCCAATCCCCACGGTTACTTGGAGGTTGCAGAGTGGGGCTGAAGATAGGGGAATTCTGAGAACCAAAGGCCGAGGCTGAACCCCACTGCCTTTTTCCTGGACACTTACATTAACCTCTTGCCCCTTCCTTTATGGAGCCAGGTCCAGAAAAACAGCCAGGAAATTCTTTTTGTGGGGGCCAGAGATCATAGGAGCTGACCCTTCAGCTCACAGCTTGCGGACTGAAAAATGATAAGGACGTTGCAAATTAAGTCTGCAGTCCTCAAAGTGCTGAGAAATGCTCTAAAAGTCCAGTTGCTGAGACCTTTCAAGGGAGGAGAAGCAGGGTGTGAGGTACAATGATATCTTGAAAGGACAGAACACTAGTCAGTAGGCCAGTTCTTTTTCCTGGCTAAACTTTTGAGAAAAAGAGAGGATACTGACAGGCAAGTGCATGAGATGGCTGTCTGCAGCCTCGTGAAAACGTGTAGGAGCCTCATGAGATCCACATGCAGTCACCCTCTCCGAAGCCTCTGTTCCACACCCAGAACAACCCCCATCCCTGAGGGCTGGAGGTCCACTTCCCTCAAGCTTCTAAGATTCTCTAGATGAGACGAAGGGCCAGTACTTTTTGCCAAACCAGATTTTCAGCCACACAGGCTAAACAAAAGCAATTTTTCCAGCTCACCCTGAATCACCCAGAAATCTCTGATGGGGGGTGGGGGGAGGGATGCTGCCTGCTTTGTAAGTGGGAGTCCTTGCACTGAGAAGGATCCAGGAAAAGTCCACATTCTAGAAAGACCAACCTGTGTCATATGTCCATTGACCTCTTGCCAAAATCCTCAGCACCATAGAACCACTGAGGAGAGGGACGCAGGACCCAGAATTTCTGAGTAATTGCTGGGGGCAGAAATCCTCATGTCTTCACCCCACAACCCATTTTCATAGTACCAGTATTGTGACAGAGCATTTGAACCTGTGGTTGAGGGCTGAGCATATCTCCTGCTCCCCAACCTTTAGGTCTCCAGACTTGGAATTCTGAGCCTTCACAATGACCTGAAAAGGGGTTTTTCTCAGCCTTTGCCATGTCCTTTTATTACAAGTGAAAGAGCAACATTGCAGGCAATGCATGGGCTAAATTCCTGCAGAGTGATAGAGTACCACAGGGGAGGAGAATGACCAGACTCCACTCTGAAGTCTGGCCCAATGCTCCAGACATTAAAGGAGGCACAAGACCTCATAAAGAGGCCAGGGAAGTCAGGGCCCAGTCATCCGCTATCAGTGCAAGGCACATTTCTGCCCCAGGATACTTAGGTGGGGGGAAGGGGAATGGAAACTCAGAGCACAGGAGCTGGGAACAACAGCTGGCCCACAAATACTCTGCCCTCATTCAACTTCCTCTCCCATCAATTAAGACTCAGTTCATAGAGACTCTGACCCCTTCTAGAACTTCGCATATAAGCCCTAACCCTTTATCTTTGGGGATCTGCAGGAATTAGCTGACTTCTCTCCCTCCCTTCCTGCTCTTCCCACTTGGACCCCCAACTCCTCTCCTTCCCCCACCACCCCCCATTCCCCAGCATCTGAGTCTTCCCCATACCTTGTTGTTGCTGTGATCTCTCAGGGAGTGACATCCTCACTTCTCACCTTATACTTTTCCATATCCCATAGGTGGTCCCTAATTCTTGAATAGCATTCTTCCTCCCCCACCCAGAAGCTTCCTCCTAACTCCTGCCACCATGGCCCAGCCCTGGCTGAGAGGGGCATAGCCGTTCTGGGCAGCAGTCTTGCCTCCCCCACTTCAGGCTAGAGCTCCTATACTAAGGCTTCTTTCTGTGGCTACCTCATCTTGCATGACAATTACTAATAACTATTCATTGTGCATCTACCAGGTGCTAGACACTTTGCATAGGTTATCTCCTTTAGTCATCCCAATAATCCTAAGAGGTAGGTCCTACTATTACACCCATTTTACAGATGAGCAAACTGAAATCAGAAAGGTTACCCAAGATCCCACAGACAGACCTGGGATTCAGACCCAAGCCCTACAGTCAATGCCACCTGCTTCTCTACTGGCTAATAGAGATCTGAAGAGAGGTCTTATTTTTCTGCTCAAGCGTGAGGCAGGTGGGATTTCAAGCTCAGGAACAACAGTGGGCTTCAAGGCCAATAAGACTTAGCTTCAGGATCACCAGTCCTGAGATAATCTGCAGAGGGTTGGGGAGAACTGGTATTTGAAGGATCGAATGAAGACTACAGTGTGTGCAGAGCATCTTCAAGCCCTCCTGTGGAGTAACTCAAACCCAAGGAAAGAGGCCTTGCCATGCATACCTTGCTGGCATTAGTACCCTCCACCTCTAAACCTCAGGTTCTTAGGATCTATTCTCCAAGGAAAATTTGAGCCCTGTAGACAACACTCTGCATGCAGATGGGGGTGGAGGGAGTTGGAGGATGGAGAGACACTATCCCAGACTCTGAGAGCTCCAGGGGGAAAGCTGATCACTTAGTAGATATGGAGTCAGAGATTAAGGGGACAATCCGGATCTTCCAGAGGGCCAGCCAAGGAGTGAACATATAGGAAGGTTCCCTTGAAATGAGGGAGGAGGCCATAGTCTCTCAGTGCCCTGATTGGGACAGACCAGGGCAACCCACAGGCCACACTAAGGGGCTGTCATTCAGGTTCTTCAATCCTCTACCCTATCCTACTCCATTTCAGCATCACCACCAAAAGCGTGTCCAGATACCGGGGTCAGGAGCACTGCCTGCACCCCAAGCTGCAGAGCACCAAGAGATTCATCAAGTGGTACAATGCCTGGAATGAGAAGCGCAGGTATGCCTCACCTTCCTCCCCCTCATCCCCAGACCCAGATCCTGGACACTTTGTAGGTCCTCTAGCCATGTTTAATGGGGGAACACTCATCACAATAACCTCAGCATACAAATACTGTGGTTATATACCCCTAAGAATGAGGAACTTACCAGTTAAAGCAGGCTATTGCTGTCTTAAGACAGTTGTAAGCATCATAAAGGTATCCTTTTATGAACTAACTTTGTTTCATTTTAAATTTTATGTTACAGTCTTAATTCCTCACCTTATTTAAACAACTTAAGTTATAAGACCCTGGGTTTCCCTCTGTCTAAGGCTGAGTGAGCATCTGGTACAGTTCTCTCCCTGATTCTTATGGGGTGAAACATGACCACTTAAGTGACTGGGTTTATTTATTATAAAACTGTAGGTACAACCACAGATGATAAAAATGACTCCCTGCCAACAATAGATTCTCCCATAATGTCCAGAAAACTGATAAACTCTTTCCCATGCAGGTGCAAGGAGACCTTGGGTTTGACTCTTAAAAATCAGACCTATTCTTAACCTCAGGGGCAGCAGTGGCCCGACCACCTAAGCCCTGAACCAGATCCCTACTCCTCTTGGTTCTGTTTCCTTATAAACAGAAGATATGATTTCACAGCTCTGATCTCCTAGGGTCCTATGTCTTGCCTCAGAGGGGAGGCAAGTTCCTGGGTTCTCCAATACCACATAAAAGTGAGCTGTTCTGGAGCACACCTGTCCTTGCATACTTAGAGACTACACACACACACACACACACACACGTGCATGCTCACATGCACAGCTGAGTTTTCCAGGAGCTGGTGCCAGCACCTCATTCAGCAGAAGAGGAAACCAAGGCTAAGTGTGGATGGAGAGTGACTTCTCAGGAGCACAAGGAAGAAAGCCAGGCTTCCCAGTGTCACCTTCTCCCTCCCTACCTCTGGTCCCTGTGCTGCCCCTTCTCCACTAAGCTCAGCCTATGAACAGCTCCCTCATAGGTAACACTTGGGTATAATCCCAGTACCTGAATCTTTTGAGCCGTCTCCAAAACTGCCTCATCTGCAGTTTCTTGAAATAGAAAATGATGAGAGTGAGATATAATTTTCTACAAGTCTTATGGGAATGAAACCCTCTTTCTGATCAGGCAGCTCACGTGGCAAAAGCAGCATCGTCTCATCCACTATAATGCTCCAGGCCCTGTGTCATCAAAAGTGTAAAGAGGCTAACCTCAGGGCCAGTTCATGGAAGGGTTGCAAACATCTTCACTAGACTGCTGGGGATAGATACTCAGGCCTTTTTATAGGAGTACTTACCCCTCACCCCTCCACCTAGGCCACAGCTTTGATGAAGAGGAGGCAGGCATGGAACCATGCAGCCCTAACCTTCTTATTTCTGCAAATTTCAATGATGAGAGCAGTGAGGGCACTTCTATTCCCAGAACTCCGTCACTTCATTACAAAATAAGTTCATCCCTTTCTTGGAATACTGAGGTATCTTGGAAGAGGAAGGGGGCATTCCCTTGTCTTCTCCACTCCCCTCACCCTGTAAAAGGTTGGAAATGTCTCCATAAATATAGAATGGAGATAAGGGAACTATCTTGAAGCCTTCTTTGGAGAGAGAGAAAGAGAAAGGGGGAGAGGATGTGCAAGGGGAGGGGGAGAGCAGGAGAGAGAGAGAATATGCTAAACCTAGGATAGAAGAAGGAGAGGACAGTGGGCCATCCCAGCACTTGGGGTCCAGACTAGAGATGCCAAGCACCTCAGGGCCCAGAGCTCTTCCAGCTGCCACTGGCAACAACAGCAACAGCAGGCATTTGATTTCATGTGCAATTAGGTGGTCTTACTCAGAATCAGGAAATAGGCAGAGGGAGCGACGAGTTGTCTGAGTGTGAAGTGCAACTCCTTCTGCCAAGTAGCAGAAGAGAGGGATTAAAATACTTAGAGATGGCTTAGGAGGAGAGGGCAAAGTCAGCTTGTGAATGCACATAGGCTGTTAACTACCAGAGGGTGTGACCTTGAGCCACAGGCCTGCATGACAGCCCCAGCCCCGCTATACCCTCTTCAGTCTTAAAACAGCTGTTCTACAACTGGTGTTCTCCCAGGGGATAGACATTCTTTGGGCAAAATACAAAAGAAATCACAAGCCTAAATTGAGGGAGGAAATGCCTCTCCCCCCACACACACCTCCCCACCTCTGCCCTTGTTGGAGACAGAACTCCTTCCCACCACTGACATTCAATATCAATGAGACTTTTGTGCCTCAGGTTCCTCATATGCAGAGGGCTTTGCTTCATAGAGTTTTGAGGATACAATGACTACAGATGTGGAGGCTGTTTAGAAGGTCAAAGCCAGATTCAGGTGTGCTTTTGTGGTCCTTGTGATGATTTGAGATGTTCCCCACTTCTCCCAGGCTCCTGCAGTCCTGGGAGGGGCACTGCCAGAGACAAGAATGAAGGAGAGAAACCATCAGCCTGTGCACTGCCCAAATCATGTCCTGAGCCACTTACATGGGTGTGTTTTTTCCCCCAGGGTCTACGAAGAATAGGGTGAAAAACCCCCAGATGGGAGAGCATCATATCCGTTGGGAGACAGCAAAGGACTATGCAGATTAAACACACACAAAACCTTCCTTTCTCACAGGCATAAGACACAAATTATATATTGTTACAAAGCACTTTTTACCAAGGGTCACTTTTTACATTTTATAGTTGTGTGCAAAAGGCTTCCAAATATGAGACCCATCTCTCTTGCTCTCCAGATTTCATCACAGGCTGCTTTTTACTGAAAAGCTGGAAACTTATGCCTTTCCTTTGTAAAAACTGCTTTTTTATATTTGTCCAGACGTTACTATACATCTGAGCTTTATAAGCACCTAGGAGGACACGGAGCTTGGTTGAGACATTTCCTAGTAGCATTGATCCATTCCTAGAGCAGGAAGCTTCCGCTCAGAGGTCCTGGCACCTCGGCACAGCTGCCACGGGCTCTTCTGGGTTAGTCACAGCCTCAGGGGGACTCCGCAGTAGCCTCAGTCACTGGGCAAGTAAGAGCAGATCTCTCTGCGTCTGTTATTTTATGAACTTGAGTTTGACTGCTTCCTCTCTCTAGTTAATTTTTACAAACTCTAGAAAACATTTCCAAGGTCCTGGGATGGCAAGGCAAAAGAAATGGTTTGGGTCTTCTCTTCACCCCAAGGTGAAGCAGTGAAAATTCACTGCTTCAATAGTTAATGCTTCGGAAGCACATTAAGTTCCTAACATTGTTAGCAAAACCCTTAGGAGCAAACTTAAAAATATACAAATACACAGAGTATAGAGCTACAGATACATTCTATAGATGAGGGAGAACTTTCAAAGCATCTTTCTTTCCCTCACCACAATGGAACATGTAGTACAAAGCAATTCCTGCGTAATTCTTCAGTGCTCAACAGTGCAGCCCTCCTTTGAAAGCTAAGATAACCATGGGTCCTTTCTTGTAAATATCTCTTAAGAACGCCCCTGCACACACTGCCCCTTCAGTGTATGCCACATTGTACTGCTGTTGTATGCTATGTAAATGTCAGAAACCATTAGCATTGCATGCAGGGTTCATATTCTTTCTAAGACAAAAAGAAACTGAATAAAATATATTTGAAATGTACCAAAATTCTAGACTGCTGACTTTTTTTTGTTTGTTTAAATAAGCCAGGATGACAATAAAATATTTACCACTTTTTGAATAAGCAGGGACAAATATATTGGAAGGAAAACTGGTATTCCCCAAATACCTGTCAACACTGTCACCTCTATGGAATGTCAGCACAGTTCTGAGACAGAAAACCAGGTCACAATGCTAAGCTTCCTCCCTGCCTGAATCCCACACCTGGGCAGGTTCATCACTGAAGCCAGGTCAGTGTGCATGGGACTGGAGGCACTGTGGTCCCCATTTAAAGAAGAGACTGGATTAGGGACCAGTCAAGATCCCTGTAATACAGGGCCCCAGGATTCCAGTGGTGCTCAGGAAGGGGCAGGCAGTATCCACCAGAAGACTGTGGGGCTGTCTGGGAGCCACAGCTGGGGAGATATTGAGGCTCCGTTTCTGCTTCTGCAAGATAAAGGTGATGAGCGCACACCTCATAGGCTCCTGCGGCTAAAGGAGGCACACCACATAAAGAATGCATGAAGGATAAGAGGGCATGGTGAACACGTGGTAAATGTGAGTTCCTTTAATATTCACAAGACGAGGCTACTTGCACTTTGCAGAAACTGCCCAAAGCCCCATATTTCACTGTATCCATGTCAAGCAGGCCCTGAGACAGGCCTGCTTGGGTCCCCCTGTAGGACTGCCCAAAAGGACATGCCTCCTCCATCTGTACTTCTGTCTGTTTCACTAGGCACCAGGAGCCAGTGACATGCACAGCTGACTCTGCCAACACTTACGGGAACACACAATATGATCCTGCCCTAGAATGTCCTTAGCACAATGCCACTGCAGGCCCTTTCCATCAGGGCCTCATCTGCTGGCAATACTGTTACCCCAAATGCATATCTGAAGAAACTAAGGACCAGAGAGGTGAACAATATTGCCTAAGGTCACTCATCACACTGCTCTCATGGCTGAGCCTAATTGCTTTCCTGCTCAGTGGGCCCACCTTTCCCCTCACATGGAGAAGGAAGGGAGACTGGACAGGAAAGCCCAGATACCAACCAACAGAGACATCCCCAGTAGGAGGACGCATAGCAGGTCTGTAGAGAAGTGGCCAGGCCTTCTCCCCAGGAGCCCTTGCTTGAGCTTTGAGGGAGGTGCCAATGTAAAGAAGTCAGCTGACGGGCACCCACCAGTACCAGCCCCCAAACCCCCTTCCCTGACCCCCTGCCCCACCAACACAAAGACCTCTCCACTATCATGGGGTGGAGCAGCATTCTCTGAGCTGCCCCCTGCGTTTCAGGTTTCACCTTACCCACTTCTAGCTGGGCACTTGCCCTGAGACTCTCTCTCCCCCCTCCCCAATACTGCTGTACCCAGACCAGTCAGTCGATTTGTTTAGAAGGCACTGTGGTCAGTAGAGGAAAGCTGGACTTCAAGCCCCAGTCTGTGAGAAAGCAGGAAGGAGATGTGTGTAACTGTCTCATCCTCCACAGAGACTGTGTCCCTGGGGAACAAAGTCTGCTTCCACTTCTGTGGATGACTAGGACCCTGTCCTCCAGTGGGCAGCTATTAGCCTGACCACTAAGAATGGACTCTGAGCCCAACACTTCACAAATGCTACACGATGACCCTCCACACCAGGAACTGTGTCTGACTCCAGGGAAAAATGACCTTTTTCTTGCCGTTTCTCATTGTTTTTATCTAAACTTCCCAGCAGTCCTATGAGGTTTCTACCCACCACATTCTAGAAAGGAGAGTAACTCCAGTGCAGCAAAGCAAGACCAGGCCACCCTCCCAAGTGGCCCCTGTGATCGTAGCCTCCCTGGGGAGGGCAAGCTCCAAACATGGGGCAGACCAGGCCCACCCTGGAGCCTCACCGACAGGCTTGCAAGGGATCCAGATGCCACACCCTGGGCCCCCGCTCTTCACAAGCATGTTCAGAGCAGGTGTGCCAGGCTTAACACCAGGATGGCCACATCCTGAAGAACTCCAGTCTGGCTCTGCCGCTCATCTCCACCCAGCCAACCCTCCTTAGATCCCTTGGAGTCAGGACCAGCTATGTAATCACACAGCCTGATATAAAACAAAAATGCAGGCCCTCCCATTCAAAAATTATTAAGAATTTCAAGATGGTAACAGCAGAACCGTAAATGTGGCCCAGGGCTCTGTGCACCTCACATGTCACAAGCCCGTGGAGCAGCACAATAGGTACCTTGGATATCAACTCGAACTACCATCTGGATGGCTCATTTGGCCCTGAGTCATTAAGTGACTTGTATTACAGTTTAACAGTTTAACCTGAACATCTAACAAGTTGTGCTCTTAGAATCCAAGGACTGTGTCATGCGTTTTTATAAAAATCTACAAAAATCTATAATAGCAGTCATGATGTATTCAAACACTACAACTAAATCTGAGTCTCTTTTTAATTTAAATTCTTTAATGTGTAAAGTATTACGCATGTCTCTTTTTTTGCCCCATTGACCTCTCTCTGGCCATTCCCACCCCCCAGCACATGCCCTCACCCCCTACTCTCTGTGGTACATCTTCACAATGGAATACTATGCTGCTATAAAAAAGAGGGAACTCTTACCATTTGCACCACTTGGAACCAGAGAGCATTATAATAAGCAAAATAATCTCAATCTTAAGAAGCTCCCTGAGAACATGCTTTCTGTACTCCTTCACTGAGCTGCTACTACATGCAAAGCTCCATGCTGAGCACAGGGGTGGAGTGGGGTGATATCCTTTAAACTCAAGAGCAGAGTTCCCTCACACTCTCAGCTGCTGGTTTATTATGCAGCATTTGCTATGTGTCACACACTCTGCTGAATTCTGCCATCAGCCCCTCCAGAAACCCCCAGTCTATACAGGAAATGAAGATGCTCCCTAAAACTGTCTCAGCCGTATGCTAGAGGATCACACAGCAGGCTCTAGGGGCGTCCACAGGGGTACTTACCCAGTCTTGGAAGAAGGTGACCCCCGCCCTAAGACCTCTATCAGTTGTTCTCAGGCAGCAATAGGAAGTGCTGGTTCCTCCCTGGCTCTGATGTGGCCTGTGGCCCTATGAGTGCACGTGAAGAGGCAGCCCACAAAAACAGAGAGCTTGGAGGGCAGTGAAGGAGCATGCTGAGGGAATTCAGAGGGGACTCGGGAACATCACCCATGCCCCAGCTGAACATCCAGGGAAACCAGCCACAGTTCCAACCTCCACTCCCACTCCATCCATATCTCCTCCTCTCCCTCATCTCTTTCCATCTGGGTGAAGGGGAAGATCCCTTGGGACTGTGGATGGGAGAGAAAGGAGGAGGTGGAGGGTATTAATTCAGAGCGGCAAAAAAATTTGACCCCCTCAGGCAATAGTATAGTCACCTCACAACAACCCGTGCCTCTCCCTGCCTCCTGCCTCTGTCCCCAGGCTGCCTTCTATCCGGCAGGCAGCAATACCCTGCCCCCAAGGAGGTTCTGGCAGCACGGAGCTGAGGGTGGAGGACGTGGGGGAGGGCAGGGGAAGCCCCAAAATGGGACACCGGAGCAACATGGGAGGAGCATTAATAGGAGTAAAAGCATGCAGAGGCACAGCTCACACCTCACGGGCCTTCTACCCAGGGGCGCTCTCAATTACCTTACTTTTAAGGTAACATCTCCCAGCTTCCTCCATTCCAGAACACTAATCTGCGCCACCAGCAGGAAGCAAAAGCCAATGCACCTCAGCCAAGGGCTCAAGTTCTGAAGATGGTCGGAGAAATGACAACAGTAACTGGTATAATTATTGCTTACTATGGCCAGACCTGTGCCTGGGGCTCTTATGCCTTATCCCATTCAACACTGTAACTACAGCAGGGGGTTCTATTAGCTCCACTTACAGATAAGGAAAGCCCCCCTCAGTGAAACATCGCCCGTATTTATGAATCCCGGAGG